AGTGTCTTCGCTTTCGCATGACCAATTTTCACAGGGAAAGTGCTCTCACCAACGCATCGGCCTACTGCCATTATACGGTTTATATCAGAACCATGCAAGCTCCAAGCCAAACTGAACTGTAGCATAAGCATGCATAAGCATGCATAAGCGAACTCCAAGATGCAAGTCGAAGCCACTGGCATGTGGCACATCCTGAAGGAGCTCAGAGCGCGGCAAACCCACCACTGCCAGTGAATGCACTTGTACCACATGCCCAAATCCGTCTTGTTGGAAGGAGGACACTCACCACGATCCCAAACCTGTTTGGTGCAGCCAAGTTGCATGTCCGAAGACCCAGCATTTTGGGAACAAAATGTGGTGCTCCACCATCGCCCTGCAACACAAGCAAGAAACAGCCAACCGGTCCCCATCCCTTTTCCCAAAAGCCCCACTTCGCAGTACATCATAGGTCACCATGTCACCACAGGTCATCATACTACAGTAGCTCATCGTTTGTCCGCACAATGCACCCATAAGTTTTGTCAAATAAGGCTGCCAAGCATCTTCTCCGACAAAGGAATGCCGTAGCTCTTCGGCAGCGTGTACTTTCCAGCCATCTCAGTGGATAAATGGCACATAATTTAATGGAACAATATGGAACACAAAACAAACTTTTCATTCCCCCAGCATGTACGGATATGTACGGAATCCAGCATTGATTCGCCCTTGTCAGCTTAGTCACTAGTCATTTTCATTCGATCTGCGTCCAGGGCTCTTTGTCATGGGAGGCAAGCATTCGAAAAGACGATTCTTGAAGATGCAGGCTCTCCACCTCCGCTTTTGAATAGGTCTTTCCCTCAGCAATCGCCAGCACCTCTCTGGAATGAGGAATTGCTTATATAATTAGGTTCGTTTGAAGGGAAAGTTTCAAGAGAAATAATGTCATTTTCATAATTTCCATATATTCACCCTTCCGATAAGAGCGGATGGTGGTCCATGATTCCGGTAAATGTGATTATGTATAAATGTTCCATTTCCGAAATCAGGAAGCCAAGGTGCCAGCTCCAGGGAAACCTCATTGGGATACGCATATATATTCATATGATGCACCAAGCTTACCTCAAGCAGAAGCGAGTGCAATGTATGCAAAACTAGCTGCAGAAACGTTTTTGGGACTTGAATGACACTACAGCCGTTTTCCAGTCTGGTGTCCAACACTATTGGAAAATGTTATAATCAATGGTAATATATCTCTCGCATGTGTTTTTTTAGAATTAGATTACGTATATCTATCATGTTGCTTTATAATATTATCAGAACCTTCTGTCAGAGCAAAACACATCCCGCAGGTTGCCTTCGTTGTGTGCTCAGCACATCCGGAAGGCACTTCTTCAATCACTGGATCCCAACCCACGATAAACATGTCTTCGGGTGCCTTGGATGGCAGAGACCTTTCTGTTGCAAGGATATCCATATTGAGCATACGATGGCATAGCTGCTGGGAAGCAAGGAATTCTACCAAATTCACAACAGGTCTGGGCTGGAATTCCTCAACATTTCTCAGCGCTAACGGTTCATGTCCATGGGTCCACCGCTTCTGCCAGCTGAGGCTGCTGCTGAAAACATAGATGAGTCCAGAGCCTGAGATAGGCCATCCGGCGATCCGGCTGAATTTGTTCAGCCCTCGGTGTTCTTTGCCGTCAGTGTTGTTGGATATGCAGAATTATGCAGAATTGATCATATTGATCAGATTGCATAGAAGTGCCAACAAATCTTGGATGCAAACTGATCACACTTGGTCCGCAATTAGCAAAACCATTCCAAAGATTTCAAACTAGTCATCCCAACCCCATCTGGGATTGTCCAAGCAATTCCAAGCGACAGTGTAGAGCAGCAGTGACTGCTTTTGCTCCAAGCTGGGCCTGCCAGTGAGCTCGCTATGGACAAGAGACTATCTGAGCAGCAGTTGCAAAAAGGAAAATGACTGGATTGGGGCTGAATTTACATTGACATTCAATCAAGCTATATATCTCAAACTAGATTTTTTTGAACCTCCATCACTCCTAACCAATGAGCAAGCTCTGGAATTTGATTACGGCATATTACGGCATCAAAGCCGTGCTATGAGGCCAGTGCGCAAGGACTGTAGAAATCCGTAGGGTAGGGAGAAATTGACATTCGAAGTTGTGCACATTTGGCTGCAACATGCTGCAAGGGTCCATCCACGCTTAAGATATCTTAAGATCGAATAAGCTTAGCCGCGCCTCAGCGTCCCCCCTACCTGGAAGTTGGCTCTGCTGGAGAGGACTCGACCTCAGAATCCCAGCTCCATGGTGTCCGCCCGCATGTCATGGTGTTATATATATATATTATAAACACATTATATCATATATTATATATATATCTCTCTCTCTTGACAAAAAAAAAAGATGGCAAAGATATAACAGGAAAACTGTACAGGGAGGGGTGGCCAAAGAAGTCACTAGCGCGACTAGGACACAATCAGGATACCACTTCAAGAGCTGTTCAGGACATCTTCCACCCTGGCCACTCAGAGATCCAGGATGAGACAGCAAATTGGCCATGGGTTTCTGTGTTCGGACCGATAACCACTTGTCATTTCTCAGTCTAGCTACAAGCTTGGGATGTATTCAAATGTATTCGAGACTGTTGGGAGAAAGAGTACATTCGTTGTGGCACAGCAATCGGGACACCTCGGCAGCCCTTTGGCCCTGAGCTTGGTGAGGCTGTACATTCCTGAAGCGGCTCAGTTGGACAATGTTGGACAATTGGAGCCAGTAAGAAAACTTAGAAAAACTGTTTGTCGATCAGGCCATCAGCAAAAATGGGTCTTAGAATTGCAAACATACACAAGATTATACAAGCCATTACCAAATGTTATAAGCAGCCTCCTTTTCAATCCGTCTGCATCATCCGTCTACGACATTTACGAGTCGTTTACGAGATCTTACCAGTATCAAATTACAATAAATTAATTACATATTATTTATATATATATATATCATATATCAGTTGATTTAAGTTGGCACATGTTGGCACAATTCTTCAGCTGCGGGGCCGTGTCCTTTTGATATCAACGCTCATCTGCAGAAACCTCACTGACATCACTTAGGACATTGCCAGGTGCCAGGTAATGCCAGGTATCAGGGTGACGACTGAACGGGATATAATGGGATGGATACGGATGGATAATTAATAATGATGGGTTATATCTGTCATGATAATTATTAATCCTGGGATGATAATTAATTAATAATGATGGATGAACATCACAGGATTTGCTGTCAGAGGCAATGGGTATTTGCACATCTGCACCATGAATTACACAGATTTGAGTATACAATGATGGAGTTCGCGGATGCACCCCACATACAATATCAATCAATATCATACATGATGGTGAATGACTGAATTGAACGCATTTGAAGGGACTAACCGGCGAACCTGGTACTAAGACCTTCAACAGCCTTTCACGGAAAAGGCCAAGGTGCGAAGCTTGAACCCCAAAGTCATCTGAGCTCTCTCTCAGTTCATCGACCCAAAGGCAGTAGCCCAAAGAGCCCAAAGAGCAAATTATGACCTCGGCCGGTCAGCCATAGATAATCATAGATAGCCATAGTATCCACAGTCAACCTCATGAACAACACCACTACGCACTGTACGACATTGATGGGCAATGATAGACATCCTAGGAATTGGATGTGCCTGCAGCTGAGCATCACCCGCCGCACATGTGGCACAGAAACGCAGGCATAGGTTACCACCGTTACCACCAGCTTTTCTTTGCATCAGATGACCTGCAGTCCTTAGTGGATGCCGATGCTTGAAGCAGGATGCAGCTTCACTTTCAGGGTTGCTCCCAACACAACAGCGCAGATACAAGTCAAGGGGTGGAAAATGGCTGGACCAAAAAAGACGGCTGGATCAAAGGTGCCTTGCTGAGCGGCAAGAAAAACTGATAGTTCCTACAGTGCACTGTCAGGCAGCCAGCCACCCAAACCAAAGACATGAGAGATTATAAAAGCATATAAAAGCAAGCATGAGACATCATGAGACAATATGGCCCTGCTTTGTCGCAACAGGTGGTAGATCACCACAACACTTGCTATCACCATGAGGTCCCAGAAATTCTTAGAAGAACTGATAGTAGCTGTCATAGTGGAGGCTGTAGCCAAGTCAAGTGGCAAATCAATCTTTCAGAGCTTTCGCGATTGCTCCAGTAAAAAGCCCAACAGCCGTAGAAGTGAGCAAAATCCATGAAGGACCGGGGAGGGGTTTCCGCCGAGTCTTTGAGAACTTCGCAGCGGGTCAATACACCGCGTCAAACGCCCAACTGCCAACGCGTTTAAAGCATGAGCATGAAGGCAGGAAAATAAACGTGACCACAAAATACCACAAACAACAACCATAGAAGCCGCAAATTGCAACATGTCAACATGCAGCTCTTTACAAACTCGCTGGCCTACCAAAAAAAGCTGCCTTTTCGTGGCAGTCTGAAGTGTTCGCTTAGCAGCTTAGCACTGGACGCTTGGTCATCCCCAGGTGAGCCTACCATCACAGCCACGAGATGCCACGAGATGCCAGGAGTCACTTCAAAACATTGAAAAGAATCGACAGAGATCGACAGAGTCAACGGAGATTCCGCTACCGAGCTGGAGCTGTGAGCGCCCAAGCAATCTCAAGCACTTGCGTCTCAGTTCTCAGTAGGATTATGTAGGATTCAACAGGTCTCAAATGTCAGGTATTGTCAAGATTTGTCAAGTGGTTTCCAAGTCAGCTGACCAAGGGTTGAACATCGGGGGGCTAAGCAATGATACTATATGACTATATGATACTTGCTATGCAGGCTTGAAATAAATAAAGCATGGATAGTATGGGCAAGTGCCTGATCTTCAGTGTCTGAGTGCCCTGCTTGCCACAACATTGCCTTGCCCGCCGCTACCGCCAGATGGTTCCTTCGGCACAAAGCAGGTTGCGGAAAGAAAAGCGTGAGCAGACTATCATGTTTGTGCTGATTCTTCACAGATCTTCACCACTAGAGTCATTGAAGAACTCCCCGCCACTGGGACCGTTGACCGAACTTCTGCAGCATTTGGCAGCTCAGCAGCAGCAAAGACCTCTTCTGAGTCTGCGGCCCGTGCAGTAACGGCAATGGGCTCTTCTGGTGCTGGTGCTGGTCTTGGCTGGTAGTGCCGGAGGGCATCAAAGACCTCCTGCGAGTCACAGCGTGCATCATATCATGGGCGAAGAGGGTGCATCTTGTTTATCCACTGCCCAATTGTTCCGGCCACGTGCGAAGGTCTTATATCGTCTTACTTGTCGAAGGCATTTTGGACTTCAAGGAGCCTGACTCGCTTTGAGGTACTTGGATTCAAATGATTCAAATTCAAAGTCTAAACAAAGTTCATCTGCATGTGCAATTCATTTTCATTGATCCACACTGCGCTCCATGAGAAAGCTGGCTTACTGGGTCATCTCCTTGCTGACCTTGCTTCTCTACATTTCTCTACATTTCTCTACCTCATGACCGTCATTGCATGTGTCACTACCTTACTGTAAAGCACGTCTCACCAGTTTTGGAGGTTGTATGTGGCACACGCCGACAAACACGAACCTCCTTCAATGGTGGCCACGCCAACCAATCACTGTACCTGGTGAGGTGTTCACCACACCACCAGGGTTGCCACCAGGATCCTGGCCGGGACGGATGCCGGCAATATCTTTGACCATTGACCACTTCAATCACTGCTTCTTCATCGATGTCATAATCATTAGATCCATTAGATCGGTTGGATCCATATGATCCGGTCGCAAAGCTTCGCGTCGTTCTCTTCCAGGTCAGAACTGCCGCGTGTGTCACCGGCAAGGCTTCTAAAGAGTAGGATGCAAGGCAACGATCACCTGGTTGCAGTTGAAGCTCCAGCATGTAGTCCACCTCATAGCCAAAGTCTCGGCCATAGAATGGAAACCGTGTCTCAGAACCTGTCTCTGAGTAGCGACGTTTCATCTCCCGGTACCGGGCCAATCCTTGGCTCCGCCGTAGCTCCCAACTGACACCACCGAAAGCAACGAAAGCGGCGAGACCCCATCGACTCGATGCAGCGGCCATGGGCCATGCGGACATGGTGCCATGGACAGCTTGACTTAGCTGACTTAGCTGACTTAGCTCGACATTCGTCAAGACGTCCTTGAACGTTTCATGATGTTGTTCATCAAGGTTTTCATGAAGTTGTTAGTGTTTCATGTGAGATCATGCAACAGGGTTCCTATGTGCAGTCACTAAGGTGTACAAGCTGCAGAGATGTGGCAGTAGGATGCAGTAGGGGCATCACAATGTTCAAGATTGCTCCTAAAAATATCTTACGGTTGTGCTGTCTGGCTCGAGAGATTTAATGATGAATGGTGGCTGGACAAAATGTGAAGCAGTTTTGATCGTCTTGGAATGCAATTACTTTCTAAACCCTAGGACATTGGGCACAAAATGGCACAAAGCTGCAGCACAATAAGCACATGTGTGCTACCGTGATGCCTGAAGAATATGTGTGAATTCCCCTATTCCCCTCCTGCGCTATCTGGCCAAGTACAGCAATTTTTTTGGTGATCCATCAGTGCTTGGATTTCCTGAGAAGCCTGACTGCCCAAGGCCTAAGGCCCAAGATGGGCCTAAGATGGTTAAGAGAGACAAAATGAAAACAAAACCATACAAAGGCCACATAACTCGCACTTGAAATATCTTGAAATTTCTTGTGCTCAGTTGAAATTAATTACTGCAATTTACTTAACTTCAGACTACTTCAGTACCCCGGATGTACCCGGGTTGCAAGAGTCCTCTCCAAGCTCTGGAAGCTCTGGGGAAGACTCCAAGCCAGGGCCCACCTTCGGGGCGGAAGGCCTGGAAGCTCAGCCACTATGGCCACGAGCGGCACTAGCGTTTGCACGACATCTGGAGCAATGGAACTGGTCCACATATGTTCACATTAGCAAACTTAATACTAACATAATACTTAATAGACTAAAAATCAAAATGAATTGCCAGCAGCATGCTGTCTACCAAAGGTCCTTCCAGCTTTGCTCTAAAATTCTACATTCTACTGCTCTTAGACAATTTAGATGTCCCGTTTTTGGCTTGGCGCATCAATCGGGTTTCCTCTCACTTTCATGGGCAACACGATGCAACTGTGAATCATCCTGGAACTCATACTGACCGTCACATAGCGTCACTATATAACCTGACCTGGATGTCTCAACGAGAGGTGCTTCAGGCTGCACACCTCAGAGACTTGGTTAGGACCTGTGACCCTCGGGCCTCGGGCAAACCCATGTGAAAGGATAAGAAGAGATAAGAAGAGCAGCTAATGATTAGCTAATGTGTCTTGGGGTTTCAAGATGTTTCAAGCATCAAGCGAAGTGACTAATACATACTAATACAGCTTTTATCGGCCAATGATGAATCATGAGCTGTGGTGAGTCAAATCAAATCGCAAGCAAAACTTCTGCAAATTTGAGGTTCGACTTTGCAACTACTCTGAGCTAGTGCGCTCGTGACTTCTGTCGCGCTGTGGTGGTGGCCACGTGCCAGCCCAGATGAACTTAGATGCAGCAAACTAGACAAAAATATATTTAGAAAAACACGGGGATTCCAGACTAGAAAATGAAATGAAATTGACTCTCAGCGGCTGCTGGACACTGCTGGACATTAAACATTAAGAATATTATCATATGCCATTACATATTTTGGTTAATCAGTTGTCCCCTACTGGTCGCTGACTTAGGGCAACTTCTTGGGAGAACTCTCATTCTCAGCTTTCGACAAGTCGACATTGAGCTCGCGCGCGATGCGGCGAATGTTCTCCCTGTGCCTCCCATTGCACAGCACAACTGAAGGCCGTTCAATCTGGTCCTTCAGAGCCAACCTGGAGGGTTTAGAAAGCAAATGTTTGCATTAGGCCAATGATGGCGTGGACAGGTGCCAGCCTCTGCAACCTCTCGAAACGCCCATCAACCTAAGTGTCGTCATAGGCATGCCAAAGAAACACATAGAAACATAAGAACCAACTGTAGATATGTAGATATGTAGATATGTAGGTATGTAGGTATGTAGATAGATAGATAGATAATAGATGGATAGATAGATAGATAGATAGGAAGGATAGATAGGAAGGATAGATAGGAAGGATAGATAGGAAGGATAGATAGGAAGGATAGATAGGAAGGATAGATAGGAAGGATAGATAGGAAGGACAGATAGGAAGGATAGATAGGAAGGATAGATAGGAAGGATAGATAGGAAGGATAGATTGGAAGGACAGATAGGAAGGATAGATAGGAAGGATAGATAGGAAGGATTAGACTAGGAAGGATACGATAGGAAGGATAGATTAGGAAGGATAGATAGGACGGATGATAGGAAGGATAGATTAGGTCAGGATAGATAGGAGGACGATAGGGAAGGCAATTAGATAGGAAGGATGGGATTAGATTAGATAGGAAGGATAGTGTGATTGGAAGGATAGATAGGAAGTACTATAGATAGATAGGAGGACAATAGGCAGGATAGAGATAGGAAGGATAGATAGGAAGGATAGATAGGAAGGACAGATAGGAGGAAGATTAGGAAGGATAGATAGGAAGATAGCATTGGGAAGGATGATAGGGGGAAGGATAGATAGATAGATAGATAGGAAGGATAGATAGGAAGGATAGATAGGAAGGATAGATAGGAAGGATAGATAGGAAGGATAGATAGGAAGGATAGATAGGAAGGATAGATAGGAAGGACAGATAGGAAGGATAGATAGGAAGGATAGATAGGAAGGATAGATAGGAAGGATAGATTGGAAGGACAGATAGGAAGGATAGATAGGAAGGATAGATAGGAAGGATAGATTGGAAGGATAGATGGATAGATGGATGGATGGATGGGAATGGATGGGATAGGATGGGAGGGATGGGATGGGATGGGATGGGATAGGATAGGATAGGATAGATAGGATAGATGAATAGATGGATAGATGGATAGAAGGATAGATAGGATAGATAGGATAGATAGGATAGATAGGATAGATAGGATAGATAGGATAGATAAGATAGATAGGATAGATTAGATAGATTGATAGATAGATAGATAGACAGACAGACAAATAGATAAGCTAATTAATTAGTTATTTAGTTAGTTAGTTAGTTAGTTTGATAGATAGATAGACAGACAGACAGACAAATAGATAGATAAGTTAGATAGATAGATAGATGGATGGATGGATGGATAGATAGGTAGGTAGGTAGGTAGACAGACAGGTAGGTAGGTAGGTAGATAATGGTAGATAGACATATATAGACAGATACTTGATAGTTGACAACTACTTTTGGCTCTGACCATTTTTGACCAAATGCCTGACATGGGTTCCGAGCGGGTCGCATCGCATTGGCTCGAAGACCTGTAGAAAGAACAGCTCTCCGTCCCCCATGTTGATGTCAGCTTTAGGATTCATGCGGCAAACTCGTTTGTGTGCAACATTGTATGCCAATTGTCTTCTTTGAACAATTAGTTAGTCATAGTGAATCATAGTTACTCAAACTGTTTCCCTCCTTGACATCCGAACAGATGCTGAACACGTGCAGTCCAAACAAACACATCAAACACTCAATTTGTGTTCCAGAATCGTCGTCATCTGCTAGGCATGTGACCAATGCAAATGCATTCATGATGTCATGTGGCGGCCTTGGCATTTTGTTCATTTGTTTGCAAACTTCACTTGAAAATCCCGTGTTCGTGATGCCCCAAACTCCAGGCAAAGCTGCTCCAAACGCTTACGCTCCCTAGCTCTGCACAGGGTATTGGGTTTCGAAACTGAAGCTCATGTTCCAGCTCAGCTGGAACAAATGGCAACAGCTAGCCTCAAACTTGAAAACGATCGGCAAGTGGGTGTTGATCATTGAACACCCTCCTTATTAAATCTTAGTAATAGTGTAGCAGCATGTAGCAGCTATGGCACTCCCAGGCCAAAGGCTTTCACAGAAGACTTGCTCTGCAATCCGAAGAAGCAGCATCCTGAGCCCCTGAAGTCCCTGAAGTCCTTGAAGACTGCTCCACTGTTTCAGCTGTACAAATCCGTGACACAGACACAGCCAATGCTGTTCTTTGCGGGTGGCAAATCAAAACAACTCTTGTCATTTCTACAGATTTTGACTTATCTCGCTTATATTCTCTTATCATACTTTTTCATACTTTTTCATATTTCTCTGACCCTTCATTTCATGAGTGAAGTGATCCATGGCCTTACCCTTGCTGGGTGCACCAGCCCGTCAAAAGACCCAAACATGGCAGGACCCGGCGGTTCGCATCATGCAACCCAACAGTCCCATATGCTTCACGCATCTGGGTGAGGCAAGATGCATTAGTTCATGCTTCAGCCAACAAAAGGCTAGAGCTCAGCACAGGTCAGGTTGACCGGTTCACTGCAGTTAGGATCCTGGGTCCAGGGAATAGCGATAGTGGCAAGGCTCGGCAAGAGACATCGAGGAACTGCAGCCAGGACCAATTCAATCACATTGACAGCCATAAGCCAAAAGCGCACAGATGTTCTCGCATCTGGCCCTCCTATCCTCTCTCTCTCCCTCTCTCTCTCTCTCTCTTGGCCACCACGCTGGCTCCGAGTCAGCCGCTGGAGCCGGCAAGATTGGCCAGAGCACTGACTTTGCCACCCAGGCCGCGAGAACTTTTGCCTGGCACATGTCATCACCGAAGTCATTATTATGCCTTGTGCAGCACACAAAGCTTGCGCAGGTGCACGTATGCATATCGGGCATCCGGCATCCAGCATTTTTTCTGCTGTGGTTGCTGCGATTCCCTGTGCTGTGTTTGATTGTGTGTGTGTGTGCGTAAATAGTCAACACAACAACTCACCGGCCTTCAAAGCAGCTGCTCTCATTGTTGCAATCAACCACGCTGCATGCACATTGGACTCCTGAGTCCATAAGGGTCAAGAGAGGTTCAATGTGCAAAACCGGGTCAAATGTGAAACCGAAACCCAACATGTTCAATTAACGTATCTTAACAGGGTCCATTATCTGCATTCTTTGGTCAAAAGCAACCCAACCCATCTGCAACTATGACAAGCTGCTGTGAGCAGCAAATTGCTCTGATACCGATGTCTCAGCGCAGCCCGCAAACGCTGTACGGCAACTGCACGGCAGGACTCCACACCCTGGCCAGCATACCAAATTCACGCGCACACACACACAGCTATATATATATATACAGTGTATAATACTATCTCCGTGTGTGTTATGCGATTGATTTATATCTCTATCATTCTCTATCCAAGGCATGTACCGAACTATAGTGGCCATTAGCGCCATTAGTACGGCCATTAGCACCATTAGCACGAGCAGAATCTCAGGTCATAGTCATGACAGGTCATGACTTCAAGAACCTGTGCCAGTGCTTTCATCTGGGCCTTTTCGGTCATCGCAAGGCGCCCAGCCCCAAAGGAGTTTTGCACAGCGTCAACCTGACGTCATTGGCGCCCCATCCCCATGATCCCCATGGCCCATGGTCATTTTCCGAAAAAAAACCGAACATCACAAGATATCACAAGATTACTTGATATATCTTGATATTACTTGTCATATCTTGTCATAATTGTCATATCAAGTCGTATCTTATATATATGTGTGTGTAATTATATAATTAAATTATAATATTATATATATATATGGTTGGGGGGGAAAACAAACTATAATATATATATATATACATATCTTGTCATATCACTTCACTATCATTTCACTACCCTGCTCCCGGCCAGTTTCACCCTGAAAGTATCTCTGGTTCGGCTGCGCTGCCTGATGCAGTGACCAGCCCTCAGAGCCACGATGAAATTCTGCAGCACACATATGGCCATCGGCCAAGAAATGAATGGCTGAAAGGTCTCCTGGCTGCTGCAATGTTGGAATAACAGCTCGCTGAAGATTGGGTCAAAAATCACATTGTCATTGATGCAAAAACTTGGGTTCCCATGCTAAGTGGCTGTCCTTCGATGTTAATCAAAATGCTCCTCCGCTATACGCACAAAGATCTAAATTTGTTCCAATAGATTCTTAAACTATAATATATATCTTAAACTCACGCTGACAGGCTCCTGGCCGGTAGAAGGAAAAAGAGGAGATCGCAGCATGCTCATTGTGTGGCGCGTCGGTTGATCCATTGCCAAGCAGACTTCGGCCCACAAACAGCGAGCCATTCAGTTTCAGCCCCACTGCAGATGCGATGGTCGCATAAATATCCGCCATGCGCACCAAACGATGTGGCTGGAAGTTTGGTGCAAAGGCACGTGCCTCAACAGCCAACAAAGTCCGGCTCACATCTGGAGAGACCAGGTTGCCATGGGGCGGAGGATCATGGCCTGTGAGCTGTTCACCATGATCGCCCAAATAAAACGCCAGGCCATGTTCCCTTCTCCAAGGACCAGCTCCAGGCTGAGGTTTGGGTGGCCAAATCTTCGCCAGCTGCTCGGCTGCAAGGTCTGTGCGACGATTCAGCGCCAGGAAAATGTCAAGTAACTCAGACTCCACGTAGCCACGTTCCGAAGAGTCAACTTTGCTTGCATAATACGGTGGATGTGCATCACCACCATAGAAGTACCTGGTAAAATGATGCAAAACCGGCACATGGCAAAGCATACTTCCAGAACAACTGAGCGACAGAAGGGTTGGATATAGCACAGCGGCGAAGGATGCGTTCAACAGCTCTACAGGGAGCCTTTGCCTGCACTAAGAATTCCATGTCAGATCCTTCAATCACGACAAATTCTTAAGGGCACACAAAGACAGGAGCGCCACCATAGGCGTCCCAGGCGTCCAATTGCGCTTGGATCTTTGGCAAAAGACCGTCCATATCCTCCGCCACAACAGTGGCCTGTCAATGCAAAAGTTTTGCAGGAAACCTCTTAGAGAGCCAGGTTCGGAATGTTCATGCAGGATCACTGATCATGTCCCGTACAATGTTTGATGACTGCATCAAATGTGGCAGTGCTCGAGCCCTCACTTTCCTGCTGAGTGACCTCAAAGCCAAAGACCCTACGTGGTATATCAGGCAACTCCTTGTCCGTCTTTGCAAGGAGTGAGCGATATCCTTTGTGCTGCACGGGCATCACTTGGTTGGGATCTTTCGTCAAAAACCTTCAAAGACTTCGACATCAACCGATACATCAAATGGGTGCAGCCCCAAAACTGTGCTTCGCCAAGATACCGCAACACCGTCGCAAGGCCCGGGGCAAACACTCGTGCCTCGGGTTGCACTGAGATCATCAAATGGTTTCTGATGGCTTCTGGTCACTCATGTTCATATAACATTGATGTATTGATGTATTGATGTATTGATGTATGGATGTATGTACGTACGTACGTACGTACGTATGTACGTATGTATGCATGTATGCATGTATGCATGTATGCATGTATGCATGTATGCATGTATGCATGTATGCATGTATGCATGTATGCATGTATGCATGTATGCATGTATGCATGTATGCAGGTATGCATGTATGCATGTATGCATGCATGTATGTAAATGTATGTAAATGTATGTAAATGTATGTAAATGTATGTAAATGTATGTCAATGTATGTGTATGTATGTGTATGTATGTGTATGTATGTGTATGTATGTGTATGTATGTGTATGTATGTGTATGTATGTGTATGTATGTGTATGTATGTGTATGTACGTGTATGTATGTGTATGTATGTGTATGTATGTGTATGTATGTGTATGTATGTGTATGTATGTGTATGTATGTGTATGTATGTGTATGTATGTGTATGTATGTGTATGTATGTGTATGTATGTGTATGTATGTGTATGTATGTCTATGTATGTCTATGTATGTCTATGTATGTCTATGTATGTCTATGTATGTCTATGTATGTGTATGTATGTATATGTATGCATATGTATGTATATGTATGTATATGTATATGTATGTATCTGTATATGTATGTATATGTATATATATGTATGTATATGTATGTATATGTATGTATATGTATGTATATGTATGTATATGTATGTATATGTATATATATATATGTGTATATGTATGTATATGTATGTATATGTATGTATATGTATGTATATGTATGTATATGTAACATGTATGTATATGTATATATATGTATGTATATGTTTGTATGTGCATGTATGTATGTATGTATGTATGTATGTATGTATGTATGTATGTATGTATGTATGTATGTATGTATGTATGTATGTATCTATGTGTGTATGTATGTAACTAATTATTTATAATGTCTTATAATGATGATAGATGCTGATAGATGTTGATGCGTCTTACTTAAATGGAATCACACAATCACTGGTGCATATCAAATCAGAGCTCTCATAAAAATGGGAGGTTGTCAGGTGATGACCCCGCGGCGACAAGTTGAGTCTTTTCCATCTTCAAGCGCAGCCGTCGCCTTCGTGGCCTATGGCCATGGCTTCCGTTTTGCCCTGGACATCTCTATGTGCCAATTCAGTGGCCGCTGAAAGACATGTCTTCAGCCAGAAAACCCAACAACACCAGTCAACATCATAATGTTATTATATAACACATTATATTATATAGAAGTGTGTGTGTGTGATTAGTATATCATGGATTTGGATATCTCTTGGGCCAATTTTTGACCTTATGTACAAAGCGGGAAACAAACCTATGACATGACCATGTGATATGGCTCCCTGCAAAGATCTAGCGAAAAACGCCCTATGCTTCAAAAACATGACGGCTTGTTGCTGCAATGTTTAATGTCTGAATGCGCTGAGGCGCTGAGATCATGGAATATCATGGAATATCATGGAATTCAAAACCTTAGAAGTATCGCTAGTCTATGCGTGTGGTCATCGGCCCGCTGTCGCCAGCCTGAGTTGAATGCCCCGAATGGTTCAGCTTTGAAGCCACAGCAAATCATGGCAGGGTGTCATGGCAGCGTAGGAGTGCTGGCGATGGCAGTCAGTGCCATGGACAGCTTTGATGTCCTGCGTTTCACTGCGATGGGTGTTCGCCTTGGTGGACTCTGAGATGTGTTGCAAACAAGGAACAAAAAATGAAAAAACAATGCACAAATGGACAATGGATGACAATGGAATCTATATATAATGGTCCACTGCCTAAGAGTGTCCATGCACTGGCGGTGGTCCCCAAATGCACCCTATAAATGATGCTGCAAGTTTCTATGCATTCTGTTGTCTTGCGGGTCTTGTCCCTACAGCACCATATTTATACATTTGGTTGGTTTTGGCCACCGGTGACAAATGCAATCACACAATCAGACTGGTTTCAGAATTTCACGCAGCCTGGCGGCGACATTTTGTCGGCGTCTGTCAGCACCTCTTCCCTCTGTATCCTGTCTTGCCGTCTAGCGCACCAGAGTCTTTGCTTCTCTTGCGCCACAAGCTCTGCCCTTTCACACTTCCGCCTAGCAGATCTAGCAGGGCTGACTCTACACGTTCCAAGAGGGTTGAAGATGGTTGAAGCATTGCGAACTTGCCATGTCCGGCTGCATATGTCTGGCATTCTGGCATGAGGTTTCAGCCACAGTTTAGCTGTTTATGGCACGCTGCCCATCAAGAATAAATGAGCAAAAATCATGATGCACAAACGGGGGCGCAATCAGGATATCACAACGGGGTCATTCAAGTCGACACACATGTTCCCAAAATGTTCCTAAAGCTTTCAACCCCCCTAGGCACCATGATGCACCCATAGACTGCCTGAGTGCTTCCTCGAAAGTTTCCCTTTGTGTTTCTTCTCTTCGGCGTTGGCGTTCAATGTCCATCGCGCGGTTGATATCTCGCAGGGACGAGAGCCTGGGTCACAAAAATACAAAACGGACTGACATCAGGCGACACAAAAGTATGCAAAAGTGGGAAAACACTCCAACCTTTGATGCATATCTTATTTAATCTAATCAGCCTCAAGTGTCGCAAAGCCTGGGGTTCCAGGTGCCGAAGGCGATAATGCAATTACATGCAATTACCTGATCCTCAAGCCTCGAGACCCATAACACATTGTCGGATCACACAGGTCCCGTGCAAGTGTGCTGTGTCGGAAACTGTTCGTTTTCTGCTTGTCAGAGATGATTCCACATGGACGAGTAACATTTAAAATTTATCTACATACGGCATCATATGGCACAATACATCGCTGTAATTCGCTGCGCATCTCTACCTCTCTCACCCATTGTATGCATGCACATCTTCTCTGCTCGCGGTTGAGCACGAATCACTATAGTCCCTAGCCCATATCCGAATATTTCCTCCATTCATTGTCCTCCTCACTTTCCAGCCAGGGACTCACGTTGAAGCTCTCTTTGCTTCATTTGCTGCATCTTGCGCTCTTCCGCGCGTCTCTCACGCGCCTCTTGTCGCTTCGCAAGCACAGAAGTGCGCGCTGCTTCACGCTGGCATGTCTCAGCTTCTCTGAGCTGGCGCTTCATCATAGCCTGGCCATGGAAAAACATGGAGGCAGCGAGCCAAACAAAGAAATGTATTGACTATTATTGACATTAATTAACCTCTTGAATGTCACTTGCCAGCATTCCAACAGGTGCCGTGCAAAAAAAAAAAATGTTCTAGAAAATCTTATAATATCCTATAATCCTTCTTGGGCCACGGCAACCTGTTTATGGGTCACAACAACTTCTGCAGGACCGGATGTATTGATCTAGGCTGCATCTTCATCCACCTTACGCTGTCAAGTGGCTCTGGTTGTCCAAAATCTGGGCTGGGGCAACCGGGTAACCCATGATTATTGAATTTATTGATAGGATATGACTTGTAGTTTCGAGATGACAATGGCGCACTCATGGCCCATTCCCAGGCGCCTGCAATGATCGCTTAGCCGCCTCCTCCTGTCGCTGCGAGGCCTCAGATTGCAGGCGTTCACGACGCTTCTCTTCGCTTGCAAGTCGCTTGGCATTCTCCGCATGTCGCCAAAGCTCAAATTGTTGAAGTCTCTCGATACCTTTGGCACGGGAAAGATGGGAAAGGTCATGCTGCATGACTGCTTGACATGCGAGTATGTTATGATTAATATTGATTATATGTACATATTACAGATGGGAGAGAGGTTCTCGAATCTGATAGCTGTACCGATTGTTTAACAGATTTGAAACAGCACAACCTGAACCAAGACAGCACCAGCAAAATCATTCTTGTCTATGTCCTGCTACAGCTTTGCGCTCGCTGTCTGTAGTTCGACTCCTTGCTTCCGCTGCTTCCCAGTGAGTTTTGTCGATAGATCTGTGCCGAGCCTTGCCTCCCTGCTGTCGGTGTGGTGGCCGAAGACACGGCAGGGGATGTGGCTCGTGATTCCGCGGAACAGGTGGCATCACCAGCCATGTCCTCCAAGTGAAAACTCAACAACTATAGTCTGGGATTCCCAGACTTGAATTGTATTATAAATACGGAGAAATTTACAGGAACCCCGGTAAATGGGAGCTGTGGATTTTCCATGATTTTCCCGTAAACCAATCCAGCAAAGTTGATACATCTGATCCACAATAATAATAATATAATACAGCACGCCAAACATTGAACTTGATTGAACTGAACTTTGTCTGTCGTGTCACGCTTTCCCTGGGTTCAGTCCTCTGAAAGATCCAGGCATGGCAAACATGGGATAGAAAGTCTGAACCCGTAATGGGGCTTCGGTCGGCTTTGGTCGGCTTTGTGTGTTTGAAGCGCCATCAGACTTTAAAAGCTAATCTGGGAAACATGTTATGTACCCATGTATAGACCCGCGTGGCTTGTGGCATAACATTCATAACATGACAAACGCATACAAATGCATCGATCCTTCCTACTAGCCTGCTCTTAGGAGCTACTCTCATGTGGCTTGGGGTGCAGTTGCGTGCAAATTGAGGTCTCCAGATCTTCAAGCAAATATATCTTATGTATTTCCAACAATGGGGCCTGTGGCATGTGGCGTAGTCAGGCTTGTTGGCTCCGCAGTACAGAGACTAGCTTTGCGCACTTCTACTCCATCCACGTTTTTTCCTGTTCGTCAAAGAAGGTGGCCCATAAATTGACAAGGGTAACAATCAAGCATTTCAGATCATTTCAGGATATGGTTTACGTCTACGTCTTTGGCCCACGAATGCCCAGGACACATAAGAGTGGCGATGGGACTTCGACCTTTTTTCCCCTGCACCTTTGGAACTTGGAATGAGGTGGCGTAGCTCATGTGACGTGTGCAACCCAACTGGTATCTGAGCATTATAAAAGAAATAAACAAGGCATTTGTTGGATTCTGTATGATTCTGTACATACCTTGCAGAGGTGTCAGCTGGCTTTATCCCACAAGGCGGGTTTATATATATATATATATTACCTCTCTCTCTATATATATAGATACAGTATATATATATATATACATATTCAAGCACATCTCAATATTTTTTCTAAGGTGGGACAAGTAGTATAAGTATGTATAAGTACCTAGGACATCTTTTATCATATATGTTTATACAACATGTTTTAACACTGTGTCAAAAGAAGATCCTGAATCAAAGTCTAATGTCTTCTTGCATCTTCTTGCCCAATTGCCATCGCTTTGGCAGTTTGATGAGTTTGCTGCCATCTGCCATGGCACCTCAAATGGGAACCTTGTTCGCGGAAATCTGATGTCGAAGAGGCCGGCACGCCACATAGCACCTGCGGCTCGCGGTTGTGGCTGCACATCACCCTGTATGCCCAGCGCATCCCAGCGCAATTAAATGTGATTCCCGCCCATGCAGCCATACCCAGCCATACCCAGCCATACGACATGCCCCAGCCTCCCATGCAGTCTTGAGAGTCACTGGAACGCTTGCGATGGCACTCCCAGCGAAAACATCAGGCCGTGACAGCATCTGATGCAGGAAGGGTGTGGCCACCGGTCCATCCAAATCCAAGAGAACGTCGGCACCAGCCTCCCAGTGGAAGATGAGCAGCGGTGGGAAGTCTCGTGCCCCTGCCACTCAAAGGAGTTGTTTTTAAGCATCGGAAATCCGAGATGTCTCTGGAATCCATTGGAATCCATTGGAATCCAATGAAACAATCAATATGAAACAAACATGTGTTCATCAGATCGTCAGAAAAGTCATCGCTGCTCTTCATTGATTTGCAATCAAGCATCCCTCCATCTTGGCTGTTGCGTGGGACCTCAGCACCTGCAAATCGTGAAGCCAGATTTGCTAGAGCCATTATGGAACCTTTGAATGTGCCAATGGCACACCTACTGGCCGGCTCCAATCCTTTTAGGCAGAGCCTTATCCCCACAGATCTTGTGGGTCAAATCATGCAACTACAATGCATAATATTGCATAATAATATAATATGATACATACATATGATAATCAATCGTATCACATGTCACTTGATGATGTCACTCAGTGTCACCTGGACCATTAAATGCCTTCCTTTAAAGCACTTAGAGCACCCGCCTCCCGACTCTCTGCAGGAAAAAGTTTGCCCATAATCATCGCAAATGCATCACTCCCAAGCTGGCTGAGCAGGTCAGCACCGACACCCTCTGATTCACTTCGACGGATCCACAATGACCGACCTTTCCGAACTGGGGAACGATTGCAACAGCTCTCTCTGGGAGACTTTCTTCGTTTTCTTTTCACCACTACTGGTGCCACACAAACCAGCTGTCTCTCACAAAGAATCATCAGGATTAGGCTGCGACACGTGCGCTGCATATCCAGATATGATCACACTATATGTACTGTATGTGCAACAAGGCACTTTTAGTACACCCGGCAATTTGCAAAGTCAAGCTGCCGCAGTAAATTGCCCCTGAAAGCTTCAAAAGCCACGGCAAGCGCCAGGAAACCGCTATTAGTCTCGCCATTTGTCGCAAACATGGCAAAGACAGCAGTAGCAATGACATAACTACCGCCAAGCTCATGGCTACGTAGTGCAGCCATGGCCAAACCATTCGAAGTACCTTTCAGTCGGTATCAATGTTTAGTTTAAGTGTGCTCTGGCAAGATTTTTGGAGAAGGATTTTCTCCTTCACAATTCGAGGCGTCTGCATTGTACAGAAGGAGGGAAGAAGCCAACTGAAAATTATAAGTTTATATACAAGCGCCAAAAAAACTCTTGTAAAGCCAGAGATGCCTAACAAGTACCAAAAGGATCAAGAAGGGTTTGAAAGATTTGTTCTGCAAAACTGTAGCCGCTCAGGGGCTGAACATGTTTTTGCTGCGACACAGCAGGGGGCACATATCCACACTCGGTCACCGCAAAGAGCACCAGGGGCAAAGATACACGAGCGCCCCCAGCGCCCACTGTCAATGACAAATCTGCAGTAGAGAGACAACCCAAGAGTGCTGCCAAGGCAACATGGAGTGACCTGCCGCCACGGGATCTCTGTCTGTTTGCATATCTATGTCTATATGTATATGGAATATGGAAGTAGAGTAGCATATGTATTGGTATAAAGAGAATGAAATAATATAAAATACAGTAAGTGTACATAATATCGATATAACTATACGTGTGTATATATATAATGCTTTATATATGGCAATGTTGTTTCACCATATACCATATGCGAGTACTGCATCCAGCCCAATCCAAGTCCAACGGCCCAAGAGTTATCTGCATACGGACATCTACGTCTACGTACTAATCTTGCCTGCACGCATTGAACCCTTCACGTGTTCACAATGGACCACAGCCGCCAGACTTAGTGCAACAAAGTTGCTTTGCAACTCTTGCCCTTGGCGCTGGAATTTGGAAATTGAGACCAATTGAACACAGGCTCCCACCCAACGTTTGACTAGGAATGCTCCATTGGTTCACATGAACCTGCAACATAGAGTCAGTAGCAAACTACAATATTGGCTGGTGAAAAAGCACATCAACCAAGCATCCCAAGGGTGTGAAAAATCCATTGGACGAGGACGTCTATCACCAGCAGCGTCAAGATAAGCGACAAAATCGCTTCCTTGGAGAGAGAGACAGACTGGCAACCCAAATCAACAACTGCCCACATTGCTCTGCTCACTGTGTGCTCACTATTGCTCACTGTTCTAATAGAACCTATGGGAGTTCCAAGAGAAGGCTTAGCACTGCTGCACATCGGTACCGTCTCCGGAAGAACAGGCAATAGGAGAAACAGCAGCGGCCATGTCGAGACCGAAAAATCTCAGTCACTCTCACTAAGCGCAGCTCGTCGCGCTGATCACTGCCCCCTGCAAAACGACAATGGGGTCGTGGGGTTATGCGAGCCCCTCAATCTGCTCAGGTTTTTGGTCGGTCATCTCAACTGCGTCGTTCTTATCTAACTTTAAGATGGCTGTCTATTCATCCACATTGCTGACAGTAAAAATGTCTGATTTGGTGGCTGATGTTCATTAAACCTCTGAGGTGCCAAACATCTGCAACCCCAGACCTTCGCTGAAGTAGGAGAAGCCAGTGGCACTCACCCACCAGTAGCCATACCCATCCTAACACAGCAAGCCATGTAGAATATCAGATAACCTTGAGGCAGTGAAGAGCAAACTGCTTAAACTCTCAACTGCAAAATGCAGCAAATGAATGAGTAATTATTTGGTATAGGAGGCTTTGGACTGGAAAGGCTATATACTATATACTTTGAGCTGAACATATTGATTCATGATTCATGCAGTCCCTAATCCAGGTCACCCTGGCTGGCTATACGATCCAAGCTGCATGCAAATACTTGCCCCATGTCCACTTCCCACATTCGCTGGCGCTCACCTCAACATGGTTGAGATTGCAAAGAAAACAGAAGTACTGTAAGTTCTTCCAACATCTTTCAACACTGTATCATAGGCAAACATATGTATGAGTATCATCAGCTGCATCATATGTATCATTGTATCATCCATGAATCTATATGATGAGTCTAATCTGTGCGTGTTCGTGTGTTCCTTGCAGTACGTTAGTATGTGGCAACTGGAGGCATCTTGTGGAAAGTGCAATGCGGAATTGTACTTGTGTGCGTCTTGAAATCAGGGCATGGATAAACCATGATAAACCACAGGTTCAGTGCTTTCGAAATGCGCACAGGTCCTCTCAACACAGTCAGGAACAAAGATAAACATGCCGCAAACCAGGCTTTTTCGGACAAAAAGACATGGGATCCTCTGTCGACTTGGATGACTTGGGCAAAGGGATGCAGCTTGGCAAGCGGCGGTAAATGCAATGACTGCTTGCACGCATCTTCTGAACTTCACCTGCTGCAGGACTGGGTCCGGAGCTGTTTGCAATCCGTACGACAGGTCGACACCATTCCGCCAGATTGTAAGCAATTTGGATCAATTTGGAAACTATTTAAACCTGTTATGGGAACATGACAATTCATACAATTGCATACAATCGCTCGTTGCATCTTGTATTGTATTCAAAGTCTTTGCAAGGCAAGTCAAAGCAAATTAGGCCACTGGGCCTTTCACGCTCAAACATCCATTTTCTTTGGACAAACTACGAGAACTCGAATAACATGCGCATTTTCTTAAGAAAAGACTGTAGGTTCAATGGTTCAACCCCTTGCTGTTTCCCGGGAACGAGTCAGTGTGTTGTTACTTTTGTTTCTCTGCCCTTTGTACATATCTTTCTGCATGTTTTTGCTGTGGTCGCTGAGTGTACCTCAGCAGCTCAATGTTAAGCCAACGTGCTGCTAAGTTCAAAATCAATGCCAGGGATCCCAGGGATGCCTCCTCTTTGAGCTCCATAACTCACTCCGCCCCTTTGTGCGGTGTCCGACGGATTTGAGGCTTGCGTCAACGCAGCGCGGCAGCTGAGATACCGTGGGGTACCAATTCTCGATGGCTCCAACAGTTTCAACCGAATTGACGAATGTAGACTAGCGAGCGCTCAGGAGCATTCAACCAATAAGCTATATAGTCCTTTCCCGTCTTTTCCGATGATGTGAAATGCGAGAAGAAAAACACGGGCACCCTGTTGTCACATGACTGCAATCTCTCTCTCTCTCTCTCTCTCCATCGCCATCTACATGACTGCAATCAAATGCCCCCTTTTTCCGTGTACCATTCTTGTACCCTGTCCTTGCCTGCATGAGGTCGGTCAAACGAGCGCATCTGTGACGGAATGCGTGCAACCCGTCTCGCACCCACCCACCATCGTGCAAATTCTTCCAGACTTTTCAATGAACTGCATGCAAATTCTCAATTCATCACTGCCCTGGGCAACTATCCTCCATGCCGGGGAAATGTGAAATGAAAACACTTTTTAAAGGCCTGAGTACCATGAAAAACCGTCACGTGCCTGCACTCGGCTGGTGCCCAGCCATGACCGCGAGAGTTCAAGCAACACAGATCCGCTGGTGGCTAAGCTGAGGGCTATAGTGTAGGCAGCGTAGTGGTGGAACAGTGATGTTGATGGATATAATATCATAAATCATTCACATTATATTGTATATATATATATATTGTATCATATTGTATTATATTAACATGCTGGCGGTGAGTTAGATTTTTTGATTGTACAATATTGATGGTTGATAGTCCATCTCCATCTTGCACCTTATGTTGCAAGCATGTGTCCTCTACATTCCTCTATAATTATACAGTATTCCACTTGTCATGGGGCTGAGTAGTGTGAAGTGCTTGCATATGTCGTCCTAGATGTACGGACTAGACAGGCATCATGAGAGTGCTAAGCAGCTAAGCAGCTAAGCAGGCGTGGCTAAGCGGTGCTGAATTCAAGCCCCCACAGATCCCCTCACGAGGCGAGGCTCACAGACTCGACGTGTCAAATGGACCGACAGACAATCCAAAGGTCCAAAACATGTTGAAGAATTTGTTGAAGTATGTCCAACGCACTTGTGAAGACTGTGAAGTTGTGAACAAGGCTGCCGTGTCATCTCCATCACCCTGACAGGTTTCTTTTTGACATCCACCGCAAAGCAAGAGGATGCCTTAACATGCATTTGGCCTACCGAAATTTGGCAAACCTTTTGGGGGTCCGCAGCGAACCCTTTCCGGGTGTGGGAACAGCTTTGGCGTCAGTATATAACCAAAGAAACTGTGGACGTATTTGATGGCTGTTAAGCCACACCCAAACAAAGGACAAAGCAAAGCCAGTGGAGGTGTGCAGAGCCTGGCAACGCGCCCTCTGCTTATCTGGCCGTCGCCTTCTCAATCTTGGAGAGGAAAAAAATAGTCAAGACAAATGAAAGCATTGCTGTTGATAAAGTTGCAAAAGAGATTTTCTTCTTTGCAGCCCTATCTATTGTGAATAGTGCTAATTCGGGCCATTCGACTCCTGGTTTCTTTTATCGCAAGTGGCAAATGGAGATTATATAAGTTTGACAGTTTCGATATGACCTTTCCTATTGATTTGATCAACACAACATCCAGGTTCACATGCAAATGATGCTATGACAGAAGAAACTGCAATACCATGTGCCTCCAAGTCTGACCTGTGAAGAAGTCATTGAATAAAAGAGCTGCAGTTTCCTCTGCTAACTGTCTCAAACTGCTACTGCGGCACCATGCTCACATATGCTCACTTTGCACAGGTGCTGTCCCAAGTTCGAGATCTATTTTGAAAACATATCTTCTATCGATAGAATCGATAGCTCAAAAAGCCACAGCAAACAACACGCGGCTTGGCGTGGATTCCCCTCTCCCCTGGCCTGCATCAAATTGAGCGAAGCATCACACTTCGCTATGCCGACACAAAGCTTTCACTGCCCCCTCGGCTCAACGTCTGTAAGATCTGTAAGGAGATGTAAGGAGTGTCTGAACCCCGTAGAAACTGAAATTATGTGAGAACCTTCTATGACATTCTTAATGACAATGGCCAAAAATTGCCAATAATTACCCACACAAGTTCATGCCCGTGAGTCCTGTGAACATGTCTACATTTATCATCATTTATCAACCACTCTCTGTAACAATAAACCATTAAGCAAACCAATTTGTGATTCTTGTGGTTTTTGATGGTTTTTGAATATCTGAATATCTGTCGATATCTGTTGTATTTGTGATGACCTCCTGCGCCAAGGTTCTGCGAAATGGCTCTCCTCTTTCAAGTTTTCGCCTGGCTGTTTTGGACTGACGGCCTCTGCTCCATGCCGTTTCCCTTTCTGAGTTCCAAGCCTTTGGTGGCTACCTCCATGGAAAACAGAATTATGACAAGTAGTCCTGATTCAGGCGATCTTTATGATCTATATATATTTAAAAAAATATGCGCATGTTTATCTATTTCTATCATAGAAATCTATTTGTTGTTATCATCTTACATATATGTTGCAGATTAAACTATTAGATGTAATATATGTATCTAATTGTATCTATTTCTTCTCCATCTTGGTCGACCTCGCATCATCGTCCACTCCCAAGGGAGCCTGGTTGACGACCTTCCAGGCAGAAACTTAGCATCTCCTGGCATAGGGCTTGCATCGTGTTTCCACCAGCAAATGCTGGAAAACTATGGAAAACTGAACTCCAAGTCCAACAAGTTTCAAGACGTTTCAAGACGTTTCAAGATTGAAGATGTTTGAAGTTTGAAGTGTCAATAAGTCAATGGCGTGCAACAAACCAGGGCAACTTCAACGCTTTCGTAGTTCAACCATGTTCAACCTCATAGATCCTAATAGATCCTCATAATAGATACTTAATGAATCTTAATGACTTAATGGCTTAATGATACTTAGAGCATCTTGGAGCACTGTTTTGCTCACACGGCACAGCACAAGCGGTGAAGCCAATTCCTTCTACTGCGTGAAACAACGTGCACCAGGTGTGTGCAATCTCTCATAGAGCAGTAACCTTCGCAGCATGTTCCACCAAACAGCTTTGTTGTCCGTTTTGGATAAACAGTGCCCTGAGAAGTTGCACACTATCAAACATGCAAACCGTTTGCTGCCAACTAGTGGCCCTAAGCTACTCAGAACCATGCTTTCCCCTTCCGCCAGCTACTCAGCCTAGTCCCTCAATTTCAGGAAGAAGCGTTTGATCATCCTGGCTTCCTGGGAAACGGTTCTCTTGCTCGCTGCATCTTCACTAGCAGCCTCAACCACATTGATGGATGTCCCGATGTTCTTTCCAACTTGGTCTGCAGAGTCGAGGAATGCGATGATATCATCAAAGACCTCGTCATTGAGCACTACCATGTTCTTTGCCAAGGTTTCGGCAAGTGCCAGCATACACCTCTTGGCATAGTACCAGGTGTCCACACCGATCTTCTTGTCATACGGCTCCAGGGACTTGATAATTCTGCTAATTCCAAATTCAAAGTTGCCTTTGGTGCAGTACAGGGTGCCGATGACAAGATTGATGATACAAAGGTGATAGACTGGTTTGGTTGGATCCTTCACCTTCTCCTCCTCTCTCTCAACCAACCGCATGAGCTCTTCTGCTTCTTCGTTGGCAGAGGTCATGACGTACGCCACGCACAAGTTGGCCAGGATGATAGCAGTGACATTCAGCAAATCATCGTTGTGCTTCCGAACAAAGGGCTCATAGTAGCGAATGCACTCCTTGAACTTCTCCTGCATAAAGAAGATGTGAGCAACATTCAGCTTCCATGACTCATCTTCGCTGCAGAACTCAGCAGACTGCCGGAAGATCTTCTCTACCATGGAGTAGTTCTCCAACTCCCAGTAGATTTTGGCCTGGCCCATCAGCACTGGAATGTACTTGGCCAAAGCTTCATCAAACTCCGACAGGTACTTCTTCACCAAGCCTTGATCCCGCTGCCTGCGCGCATCCTGGATGTTTTTGGTCCCTTTCCGCAGCATCTCCACATGCTTTGCGGAGAGCTCGTCAAAGCGACGGTATGCCTCCTCAGGTGAAGACTGCCCCAAAATGAGCGCATCCAGGAACTCATAGTCTTCTGGTTTCATATTCTTGTAGGTCAGCTCCGCGTTTTCTGCCAGGATGTCTGCAGCAAGGTCGTAGTAACTGTACTTGCAGTAGAGCAGGAGCAAGTTCACGAAGGTTTCAGGCGGAGACGGTTGCTGGTTCAGCAGGAAGTTCAGCTTTCTAAAGCCTTCGGTGGGCTTCTCATCCATCTCAATGAGCGCTTGGTTGTGCAAGGTCACAGGATCCAACTCCGACTCATCCCGAGGTGGCATATCCGCCAAGGCATCCTTTGCAGCCTCCATGTTTTTGGTCATGTACTCGATGGCAGATTTGAGGTTGAAGGCTTCAATCAAAGCAGTTTCACGCAAAACGGACGTGTTTCCCACGCTCCGAGCTTTCAAATCACCCTCTGACAAAGCTCCTACGCTCAACTCTGGATGATCACGCACTCCTCGCTCAATGATCTCTGCAATATGCTTCAAGGCCGGCCCATATTGCTTAGAGCTGTAGTAGCACAAAGCAATGTTGTAGGCAAGGCTGGCCTGGTAGCCGGTAGTGGTGATGGCATCGTTGAAGAGCTTCATCGCCTCTGTGTACCTCTTCTCTTTCCAAAGAAGCGCACCTTCAAAGACCTGTCTTTCCTCGGAATCAGGGTGGCATTGATCCAAGATGCTTCGAGCAAGCTGCGTCTCCTCCTGCTCATAGGATATCGTTGCTTGAAGCATCAGTACTCTTTCCGTGTACTCAGGAGCTTCCACTGCAGTGCAAGCCTGAGAGGCTTCTTCATACAATCCGGCCTTTATAAGGCTTTGGACATGATAGATCTTGTATTCATCAACGTCAGGCACCACCTGTACCAGCTGGCCATAAGCATCTGCTGCATTTGCAAAGTCTTGCATGTGATAGTAGCAATAGCCCAGCAAGGACAAAGCACAACGGCTCTCGGGAAAGAACTGAAGCTGCTGATTCAGGATCTTCACCGCCTTGTCATACTTCTGCTCCATGATATGAGAGTAGATGGTTTTGGTCATCTCTCCCTCCTTGATTTGAACTCGGCCCATCATGGTTGCAGCACTGGTTGCAAAGGATTCCGGGTGAGACTTTTGCCCACTTGAGGTTCTAACCGACTAAACCACAGTGTCACAGTGTTTTTGCAGCTGTATAGGTGCCACTCATATCCCTAAGCCTTCAAAGGGTGCCTTCATATTTGACGGTTAAATGATGTTCTGCAAAAGTGAAAGCCAAGGTTATCGGCCTTCCTTGATCTCTACATCAGCTTGCGTGTCATGCTGGAAATGCTACAATGAGGCCGAAACAGCTGCGTTCGGGGGATGACATTCATGGTTCCACGATGTTCCACGTTTCTCATCCCGTCTAGCCAATGCATGTTCCATCTGGCTTGCACAGCGCGATCGAATTAGTCGCCAAAGAATTGCTTTCTGCACGGCAAACAGATCGCATCAGATCGCACAAGTCCATCAGTCCATTACAGGTAAATCAGAGGTCCATCAGTCCCGGTGCACCTTCAGCATCTTTGCCAGCATGTTCCCATCCACCAGTGCAGCCACGCGCAGGATTCGGCCGGCAAGGGAAGGAGATGCAAAGGTGTCCCAGTCAGCCTGAACAAAATCTTCACCATTTGAAATCCCACAAAATCCCCATGCATCTTTGCAGGGACACAGCCTGTCTTGCCCACTTCTTGCCCATAGAAACAAAGAAGATCGCACGAAGAATTCTACTTACTCTGCAGCGGTGGCCGTGAACTGTTGTTTCCAGTGCTGCCAAATGCATGTGGAACAAAGGATTAAAAATGAACAAACTCAAAAAGTTGCTCAAATTCCTTTGAACTCTGTTTGGTCACCGTGGCTGTCACTTCACATGGCAAAGGGTCAAATAAACAAATTCAACTAGGACAATGTTCGTTTGGTCGAGTTGCTGCAGCTCGAAGCATGTTCAGAGTGTCCTGTCTCTCAGTGACATATTTCGAAAGAAAAGGAACTGACATGTTGCTTTCCATGCTTTCCGAAAGCTGCAATTTTCCTAAGTGTTCTAGCGCTAACATGCACTAACCATTTTGCATGTTTATTTTCTGATTTAGCTCGTACGAACTTGCACACGACTCGTGCTTTCTATTGCATTATACTCTTGCAACAGGACTTTGGTCTTCAATCCCCTCTCTAGAAAAGAATGGTTGGGAGGTACCCAGTGTCCTATGATTATCTATGATTCATATGATATCATATGCCTCAATTTTATTATACATGTGAAACCTGAAAGTCTGTATCATTCTGTATCCCTGACACCTAGAAAATCCTAGAAATATCTGTCCTTCATCGCTTCATCCCAACTGGCTGGGCCATTTTCACCATGCAGCCCAAGCATGTTGAAGGTCCACTTGATCCTCAAAAATCTCATCAGATGTGACTACATGTGACTACTGGACTACTCAAACATCTGAACTTGGATGAAATTATCCGACACAATCAACATGATTGAAGTTCTTCACGGCAACTATAAAACGATCACACTGAGCACGCATCCAATTCAACGATATGATATGAATTAATTGATGATTAATATTGATATTCAAAATATTGCGATTTTAGGTAAAAGGAGCCCTCAAATCATGTTAGTTTGCTGCAGAAGCTTCTCTTCAAGAAGATCGTGAACCAAGCAGAAGACGCGCTCTTTCCTCAGTCCCATGAAGCAGCAAACAGTGCTGACATCCACAACTCTGTCTGATTGACTCTGATGGGCAGTTGTGAACGTGAAGGTTGCAGTTTGAGTTGTCTGAGTGGTTTGAGTTGTCGTTTTTGAACAGTTGCGACAGTGGCACTTCGACTGTTCTGAGGCACTTGCTGCTTGATGTCCACCTCTGGCATCAGAGAAGGGTTCGTCAAAACCAGGCTCCGCATCTCTTTCTGCAATTCGAGCACCTGCAGCATCCCCAGCTGCAGCTGTTGAAAAATAACAAAAAATGAATATGGCTTGCGTCGCATGGTTGCACTGTGTGGGCAAAGATCTTGCGTGCTTAAAGGTCTTTTTGGGCCTAAATCACCGTTGCGCTGAGAAGGATCAAACAATATTGAAAAATACATCTGGCGATGCTTTCCGGATTACTGTCTTTCGACATGCGAGTCCTCAATGCTTTCTTTCTGCCTGCTCTACATGAACCGTCCTTAGATCTCCTTCCACCGGTGCCATAAACAGAACCTCACCATTGAGCTTCAGCAATAAGCGGCGGTTGGATGCAGCCTGATCCTGCAAACAAAGAACCGCACAAGACAAGTGGGATTTGTGGTTTACTGCTGCACTTCTGCACAACCTTGTTGGATGCACTGCCACATAGATTGACCATCGCAAAGGGACGACTAAAGCGCTCGGTGTATATATATATATATATACGCGTGTGTATATATATATATATGTGTGTGTGTGTGACAATGTGTGTGTGTAATTACCTGTGTGTGTGTGTGCGTGCATTGTCATACAAATGGCATGTTCAGAAACAAAAATAGAGGATGTCAAGGATGCCACGTCTACAGTGACTATACTGAACAAATGATGGCGGGGACAAAGGCCGCACGCGTGTCCTCGGGTGTTTCGTTGCTTTCATCACCTCACAAAGTATGCAGATGTATGCAGCATCCGCAGCATCTAGCGCATCACGCACCGTGCGTTTAACAGCCCATCTGTCGATCAAACATGATCCGCATGATCTCACTTCAGGCGAGGAACTGGCATCTGCGGTCTCTTTGTCCTCAGTGCCATCTTTCGTTTCCTTCTCTTTCTCTTCCTCTTCTTCGTCTTTGGCCTGCACCCCAGGTAGGTTTGAACAATTTATTTTTCCATCTGCTTGGTAGACAAAGCAAAACTAGCCTAGATTCACCATCCTGTGTTTCATCAACGATGCAACCCAGTAGAGATAGCACAACTCCTGTACCCTCCATTCTCAACAAGCATCCCATCAAGGCATGCAGATTGTTTCCGCGCATTCACTTTCTTCGATTCTTCGGCGAGTCTTCCAAAGCAAGAGGTCACAAAAAGGAGCACTTCCGGATCATGTTCAAACAGCAGGCCAAACTAACAGTGACCCTGGGGTTTGCTGAAAATTCTGGAATCAACTTTGCTCCTTTGAGTCCTCCCACCGACTTAAATATTAAACACATGGAGACATCAGGAGACCATTGCAGAGCGCATGCATCGGCATGGCTGATCCCAGTCACAAGATGTCTCAAGTACTACATTGAGAAGTGCCGTTATGTGCCGTTGCATCGAAGGCTGGATTCTGCCTGTTGGATCGCAGCCTCGAAACCATCCAATGCTGAGGACAACTGTGCCAACTCTGCCCACGGCGCTGTGGACTTCTGTATCTTCTGTTCAATGGAAACGCAAGGGCCAGACATCAACGGATGCCCTTCCTCGTTGCAAATTGAACCAAGATATGTAGTTGGATCCATAAGGTTCAAGTGCCAAGGTGCGCGTACATAATTGATGTATATGTGTGAATATATGTGAATTGATGTATGGATGTATGTATCATGGATGCATGTATATGTATGGATGTATGGACGTATGAATGTATGGATGTATGTATGGATGGATGTATGGATGACTGGATTCTTGGATGATTGGATTCTTGGATGATAGAATGATAGGATGATAGGATGATAGGATGATAGGATACAGTATGGCAGTATGATAGGATAGTAGTATGGCAGTATGATAGTGATACGATATGATAGCATATGATAGTATATTACAGTATGATATGCATGCGATGTGATGCATGTGATGTGAATTGGTGCGGCTTACAAAAACTGCATGTGATGCATGTGATGCATGTCATCTATGTGATGTATGTAATGCATTATATAAATGCATGTAATGTGTGGGTGTGGCTTATGTACTGTATGTCGTTGATGTCACGAATCTTCACTCACGAATGTAACTGCATGTACGGTAATCACTACTGTAGTGTGATGTTTCCACACATGTTAATATACTATTAATGTATATCACATTACTTAATGTCAATGTTACCTCTCGTGCTCATGTCAGAGTTCCTGTAATGTAATGTAATGGAATGTAATGTAATGTCTGCAGTATATCTACTGTACGAGATGTTCAAAGACTAAGGAATGAATGAATGAATAATGAACGAATGAATGAATGCATGAATGCATACGAATGAATGAATGCATACGAATGAATGCATACGAATGAATTAATGCATACGAATAATGAATTAATGCATACGAATGAATGAATGCATACTAATGCATGAATGAAAGAAGGAATAAATGAATGAATGCATACGAATGCATGAATGAATGAATGAATGAATGAATGAACGAACGAACGAACGAATGAATGAATGAATAAAACCGAACTTCACAAAAGTATACAAAAGTAAAGATCCTTGAGGCTTTGTGGCTTCAAAGAAAGAAATAATAAAGGTATTTATACCTCTCTGGAATGCGATGTTTTGCTGGTATGCGTTTGCGATTTTGAGTATGGGGAAGGCAGTCTGCCCGCATGCACTTGGTTCATGACCCATCTCCTCTAAATGACACGTGGTCTGTGTGGCAGCTGTGCCACCTTTTACGTTTCAAAAATTAAGCCTGGAAGATTTGCTAACAAGTTGCATTCTTTGGAAGGCTCATCCCTTCGTTGGTTCCAGATCTTGCAACCTCCTGTGCCCGCAAAGCGTGTTCTCGAGTAGCCAGATCTTCCAGACGACACGCCAATGAGTCGAGGGAGGCTTTCACTTCTACCAATGATCCTCGCATCCTTAGCCCAGTATGCCCAGGTGGGGCAATCAATGTCGGGCTTGGAGCATGCGCCTGTTGGAACAGAATTGGCTCCTGCAATGACGTCAGGATGTGCTGTGGTTCTCGTGCAGAAGGTCTGGCAGGCATGAAATTTCGAAAACAAATCTAGGCTTTGAAACATGTAGTGGCCAGTACCTGTAGTGACAGCCGAAATCTCTCTAAAGCCTTTTTCAACAAAATGCTTTCATCTTTCTACTGCGGCCCTGCCGCAGCCAGTGCAAATGGCCCACAAACATCAATAGACTGAAAAGCCGCATCGACAGACAGGAAGAATATATGAAATGATCAGCTATGATCAGGAATGATAATGTGGAGTTATGGAATAAGATGGAACAAAATGAATAATTAGTAATACTATAATATAATAATAACAATATATGATTCAGTTATTACTAATCATTGATAAGATATTGATTAGTTAATAATTGTTATATGATTATTATTGATGTAAGAAGAACAAATACGCAAACATAATAACAATATTAATTCAAGTTTAACAGTATGTATTAAAAATATGTAAATCATGACTTGCATTACCTAAAGTTAACTGCACAAGTTTTGCCTCGGAGCCAAGGAACTCCTCCAGTCCATCCTTTTCCCTGGGGCATTGTCTTGGCCCTATGTGTGCAAGCACTTGGTCCAGGTGACCTCGAACAAAGGAACGTGGCATGACACCTGAGGTATGACATGTCATCTACAGGTCCGATATTAAGATAAATATTACTAGTATCAATAAAAATTAGTAATACGGTACATATATATTATATTATATATGTGTGTGCGTGCCGCATAGTCTGCACAGTATAGTATAGTCACATCGCTTTACAATACGTGACATGGGAGTGCCTACAGCATCCTACAGCCAGAAAAAAAAAATATAATATATAATATATATATATAATCGTTCTGAATATTATAATATAGAGAGAGAGGGTGTGTTTTATGTCTGTTGTTCTTCTGGCAACCTTGCCTCTGGCATCTGCAAAGCCTTCCTGCACTTTGGCAGCCAAGGCTGTGAAGCGCTCCACGAATGTGTCAACGCACCGGCAACTCTCCTCGCACGCCGCGATCCGTTCGCTCAAAGCTCGCATCAAGGGCACTTCCACCTCTGACTTGCCTGACAGTTACCAAAAACATTCCAAGACAAAACGCAAGGACACTAGGCTGGCCAAGGCTGGCTTGCAGTACGAGTACGGAGGCCAAAAAGATCCAAAAAGAACATAAACAGACTGGATTTACAGCGGAGCAAGTTGGACCAAGTTACTGAAAGCATCAATTTGTACGTGGATTTTTTCCAGCTCTTCTTCAAGGCGTTTCTCCAACTGCCTGACGTTTTGGTCCATGAGCACCGGAAAGCCGATAGTGCTAGGCTCCTGCACAAATCTTGGCCGGAGCACCTAGCTACTTCGCATTCGTCTCCATACCTTGACACTCACTTCCCATGAGAAGCCATCCTAAAATATCATTGATCATGGCGCAAAACGTAGTACTGTACCACATAGTATCACATAGTGTAACATACAAGTGTATTAACATTAAATAACATTAACATATGTTAACATAATACATTATTAACATATAGTATATTATATTAACATAATATGTTAACAATATGTCTGTTAAATGTGTATTTTCTGACATAGATTACAGTATATTACAGTAATATATCATATCAATTCATATCATATCATATCATGAACTGGCCGCATCAGCAGTGCAAGAATTGACAGGGCGGCTTTCACTCCAGTCCTCATTGCTTGTCTCAAAGCTTCGGAAGCTCTTCTCACTGTCCAGGGCCTTGTTTAACAATGGCGATGTGTGAGCTCCGGAAAATGTCTTTAGGAGCTTCAGAAAACCAACTGAAGTTAATAGATCGTGTGAGTTGATACAAGATGATATAGGATATTTGATATTAGCAACGCACTTTGCTGGGAGTCTGCATGTCTCTGCACGCAAAAGAACAGAAATAATATACTCAACTCCAAGATTGCCTATCAATGATAGCCTATCATGCCTATCCAAGCTGGCTTGACTGCATAGAGACTGCCATGTCCAGCCTCGACCGCCTGAACTTTTTCACCCGGGTGTCTCGCTATGAGTACCTCTCCCTCCAAAGCACTCAAGCGGTCTTCCTGAAAAGCAGTGGACTGCTGGAAATCCGCCCGCACCGAAGGTGCTGGGGCGTGATCTTCCGGATGGCACTCGTAAAAGGTTACAGGTTTACCTGGGGGGGGGGGTGGCATTTTTCGGCCAAAACCTCCTGTTTTTGATAGGTCGTGACGCTCGCCTTCAAAAAACACTGTAAAAAACAGTACGGAAGACACCTGTTCGTGAACGCGCCCGTCCAAAATCGGCAAGCGAAAAGTGAAAAAAAACGTGTTTTTCAACTTTTTGACCTCAATTTTTTGGTTTGCAACATCTTTTTTTGCGGTTCCGCAGGTGGCCTGGCCCGGAGGCGGATTTTTGAGTTTTTGGACCCGTTTTCGGACTGATTTTCGTCGTTTTGTGATAGCAGAAACACTTGTTTTTACAGTGTTTTTCTGTTTTCTGCATGCTTGACGGCTAGCTTCAAAACTTCCAAAAACCTCGTAAATTACGCTGTTTTATGTTACGGTGTGAATGAAAACATCGTAAATACCAGTGTTTTTTGACGTTGGTTAAAAAAACACTGTAAATTACAGTGTTTTTGGCCACCTGACCCTCAAAAACCATGGTATTTGCAGTGGTTTCTGCTTCTCACCGCGCAAAAACACTGTAAATAAGAGCAATTTCGCCGTTTTTTCATGTTTTTCGTTATTTTTTGAACTGTGTTGGTCCGCTATACATGGCTATCAAATTCTTCGCGTGTTTTTTTCCGACAATCAGTACTTTCGGATGTTTTTGGTCTCAATGGCCGACATCATTGGCAGTTACGAACGATGCGGTGCGGGCGGTTGCCGTCGCGAAGCGACGTGAATATGTCAAAATATGTCAAAATATGTCAAAATATGTCAGAATATGTCAAAATATGTCAAAATATGTCAGAATATGTCAAAATATGTCAAAATATATCAAAATATATCAAAATACCTCTCATTCTCATGAAATCTCATGAAATCTCGTGAATCAGTCTGAATCGGTCTCATGATGTCTGATGATGTCCAATGCATCCGGGAATCTAATGGCTTCAGCCTCTGACAAAGGTGCTCCTGCAACTCGTCTTCCCGTTTGCATGCCTGCATTGAAGTACAGTTAATCCTGTGTTGCTCCATTGACCTTGCATTCACAAACCATAACGGCATATCACAGCCATGTTGTGTCTTGCAATTTGTCACTCCATCATGTTTCGAGTTTGGCTCGTTGTCAACATCTTTCATCATCTTTCAACATGTGTCAACATGTTCTTTGATTCCCTTTCCGTTGCCAGCGCCTCCTGCTGGTTGGACGCCACCAGTCGAACACTCCGCCGGAGTTCCGAGAGGTCCACGTGCAGCTGCGACATGGATGCAGCTGGGGCGGCCTTCGTGGCAGACGGGTGCAGCATGGTGCAGCAGTCCCCGCAGGGGAGGAGAGGTACATCAAAATCGTCAAAGAGAACTTAAAACTTGAAACATCTTGAAACATCTTAAAACCAAGACCTTAAGTTGGAGCAGCAAGAAATCCTTCGACAACATCTCCAGGGATCTGTCAGCTCTCTGTCCCCAAGCCTTCTCAATACTTTTGAGGCCAGCGGAGAGGTCGTTCAGACGGATGTCCAATCGACGCTGCTGCTCCTCCAATGCGGCAGCTGCTGTTTTGCCAGCCTCTGCCCGTGGCAGCCTATGCCCATAAGAGCCCTTGGATCTTCATGATCTGCTTGGCATGTCATAATATCATTTGGTAGCACGGCATCTCTTGATTGTTGGGGGGCTTACACTACCACCTAGGGAATCGGTCTTTTCAAATCCAGTTGTCATTCTCTTTTCCGTATGCAAAGCATTCCCTCCTCGAGTGCCGAAACTCGCACTTCACTTCGCCTCCGCGACAGGGTGGCCAGTTGCTCGCTGTGCTGAGCATCTGCGACGACCTGCCTTAGCAAGTAGTCGAAACGGATGTGGGAACTGGTTCGCACTGAAGCTGCTCAGAATCAAGTGTTTACCTCTAAAGCTTGGAAAGCATTGAGGCCGCCTTCAACTGCCGAAGTACAGGATACAAATGAAGGAATGGCTACAAAATGCTACAAATGGCTACAGTAATCACACATGAATTGGCCACGACGTATTGACAATACTTTTGAATGTTGGGCTCATAGTGGCTAATAAACCAGCTCGGGTGGGTCACAGGGCTCGCGCAGCTCAAACACTGCAGTTTTTGAAGGTTTTGAAGGCAATCGGTGAGCTGCCTGTGGCTTTGTGTAAGACAGTGTGAGTATTGTGAGATGCTACGGGTTGCGAATGCTTCGTGTTGCTGCAGTGACCGAAAATTGATGATTCAAAGTGATTCAATTTGACCGCGATACTGATGAACTCCCGCAAGCAGCGTCAGCAAGCGCTCTTCCATCTCATCCGGCTGTGACTTCTCCTGAGGCCTGGTATTGCAGGAGGCACAGTACATGCTGCATTGCTGCGTCATGCAGCACTCTCCCACTCATGTGTTCACACATCTTGCGAATCAGATTTGTATCGTGCCATTGGGTGACACCTTTGCACAATCTGCTGCAATGTCAGCATAATCAATTATGATCCGTAATATTCCGTAATGCTGTTCCAAATCTTTAGGTTTTAACTCACCGTAACTCACCGAACATTCTGACCGTCATTCTTCCGTTTTTGTCCATGACTGTGGTGCTATGATGTGCCAGGTGGATCCATGTGGTGCCACCGTGCCGCCTGCCCGTTCGCGAAGCCAAGCACTTCTCGGTCACTTTGGGTGATGGCCTCAGCCATCTCCAAAACGACGGCGACGGAGCAGGAGTTGGCGGCACGGCGTCCGCAGCCATGGCAGTGATCCGATGGGTCCGATGGTCCAGTTGTCACCAGTGTCACCAGTGTTATCCGATGTTCGGATGCCAGGAGACACTGGACGGGCCGGGCCGGACGGGTGAAAAGTGCTGGAAGAATGATGGAAAGATATGGAAAGCACGAGCTGTGGATGCCTGGTGGATGCAGTGAAGGGATGTTGGTCCTGCACTGATTCTCCACGCACATTCTCTGCGGAAACCAAGGCAGAAAAGATGTGGATTGCGTTGGGCACACACAATCAGGCATTACAAATTCTTGCCCTACCCAAATAATCCTGTGCCGTTTGCGTGCATTAGAGAGCTGAATGGAACGGCTAGTGCGGTCCCGGCAGCATGCATGGGCCTACTCGACATGTCACATGCTGCAAGAGTCGCAACAAGTATCGCAAACAAACGCAACATATCAACATCTTATAACATCTTGCTTATGTGCACTTATGCGCACTGATACTTATGCCTGCGTTGTACGTTACATGTTAAAACACTCAGGGCTCTCCACCCAGGCGGGGCCCCTGATATTCTTTGATTTTCGGCATGGCTAAAGATCGGCTCCATACAAATCACAAAGGAACTCAGTGTGACTGCTGTGATTATTACATCGAAATGGCACAAAATGTGGCTCCCGCTTCCATGCCTTGCCCTTCAACTTGTCCAAATGGCCCTTCAAGGTTTGAGCATGTTGCTGGGCATCGCCTACCATGACCTTATGCTGGACTCAACTTGCCCCATGGTTTGACAAACACAATGTACTGCAACACAGCAAAACCATCTGGAAGGTCTGCCAACTGCGACAAGCTTTTAAAGTCAACAAGGGTTAACTGTTGACGTTAACAAGCCAACATGCTGCATACATGCTCCCCATGCTCCTCAAATCTCCTCAATGGGTCAATGGTCTCAGTTTTGGCACAAACTTTCACAGTTTTCAGAGTCACTGAGCACCCACACCGCTGCGGCAGCACTGGCATCTGCGGTGTCCCGAGCCAATCCAGCCAAACCGCGGTATGTGCTGGCCATGGTCCTGGCAAGGGATGAAGTGCAGCATTACATTCATTGCATGGGCTTTCTATGGCTTTCAGCCTAATTTTTCTCAATTTACTTGCCATGTCTTGCCATGAATTTATGAAGAGTTATGCAGGAATATACTGTATGTGATCATGTGTTCTATACTTGGATCTTGGGAAATGATTTGATGCTTCTCAAGGGCAGTGCCGTTCAGCCGCTCAGCCGTTCAGCGCAATGTCCTGCATGCAAAGTTGGACAGCTCCGTGGCTTTCGATACCTTAGTATATGAGCCACTGGGTGGAAGGACGCAGGGACGCAGAAATGAATGCATCAAATCTGGAATTAACCTTATATAAATCACTTGAGCAAATCGAACGAGCAGCCCCTTTTAAATTGTGCCAGTAGTGTGTGCAATTCCGATCCAAACAGGGAAATTGATCGAAACGAAACAAAGTCCGGCAAGCTATGGGGGCGCCGCTACTAAGGTGTCCCTGCCAAATTGATGTGAAGAGATTTTACTTTTTAGGTCCGATGATACTCCTGGCCCATACTTTGGCAGTCAGCACGCCACCTTTTTCCGGGGTAACTGTGAAACTGGAATCCGAAACTCGGAGCAACGGAACATTGCGATGATGCAAGGTCCAGGGGAAAGCGGAAGGGAGCAACTAACAAATTATAGTAACTATAGAATGCACAATGTTTATAATCTTTTGTTGGGGCACCATGCGGGCCTACTGCTACCACATACTAATTTCATCTAATTTCCCTTGCTCCAAAGTTGCTATGTCGCATCCTATACTACTTTCAGGGCGTCGAGGGTTGGTGCTGTGAGAGACGTATGCCCACGCCAAATCGCCAGGATCCACCTGTTGCATTTGTCCATGTGCGTTTGACACCAGCCCAAGAATTGAACATACAATAGCAAAGCCACCAGATTGCATCTGCTTCAATAGCTATTTCATGTTTCTTTGAAACCAAACAAAACATATAGTAGACTATAGTAGTATATATATATGTATATTAACTATATATATATATAAACACTGTAATTAATTTTCTATCTGCACCCCCCATTTGCCATATTCTATATATTATCTGCAAATTCCTTCCCGGCCTAGTTGTTGCCGGCTAGAATTCACTTCGATAAATCTTCAACTTTTATATTGTATTCATCTGTATTCCAACTGCTGGTGCCCGAAGTAATTTACATATTTTACATTAATTTACAATAATTCTACCGAATTACCAGTTTGAAACTTCTTCACACCTGCCTTAGCATCCTTCGGCCACTTCTCCCCCAGAAGTCCGATTTCCTCATGTCGCGTCCTCCTGCAACAAGGATTTGATCATTAAAAAAAAGAAGGATCAGCACCCAAAGTAAGTTAGTTACCGGTTCTACCGTGATTCTAGCTGTGTGCAGAGAAGGCCAGGTTACCTATCAATCGCTCGATGCATCACCACATGATACCAGATACCACATGTGCCTTCCATGAATTTCCATGAAGGGACGGCAATTTTCTGTGTCTGAATCACAATAATCACACCACCGCTCATGCTTTCGACAAATTCTTGTGGAACGGCCGACGCCAAGCCATGGCCGCCATGGCCCGAACAAAGGCTGTCCTGGCTCTCCTCCGCATCCTCCGCATCCGCACCATCCGCACCATCCTCCGCACCATCTTTGCACAGCAGGGGCGATGGGACGAGCTCTGGCTGCTTCTGCGGTATGTACTTCCCCACCCTCAGCCGGTCAAAAGCACTCGCTCGCATGACTCAAGGATGAACTCAAGGATGAACTCAAGGATGAACTCGTTGTATATCGTTGCATAATTAATCAAGCATATTAAAGCATGATTGCTGAGTGCGCCTGTGCAAATGCATCACAGCGAACATCCTAGCGCATGGATGCGCATGGGCTCTTGCCGAGCAGCGTCGAACGCGCAAACTGGAAGACTAACAGCCCAATGACAGAGACACCAAAGAGCATATTGGCAGCTGAAGCCGCGCCCCCAGTTAGAGCAGCGCCACCAGCGTACTTCATGCTGGTCATGAGGTCCACCGAAGACTCCTCAACACCTGGGAGATGAAAATAGATTACAGTAATTAACATAGGCGGCGAAAACATAGCAAAGCTCCCAAAGGGGGAAACATGTGCAACGTCAAAAGGAGCAAAAGGTGATTTGATGGCCTCTTCAGAAAAAAGAGAGCAGGTTGCATTCGCAGTGTTTCTGAAACCGTCTGGTGTCGATCAATTGTTGCGCAGCAGCTTTAGAAGTTAGTCCTAAGTCTATGAAAGCTGTGTGCAGCCGTGCTCTTGTAACGTATAATATCGTGCAATAATATATCGTAAATAAAATTGATCAAAATTGTATAGTAATATATAATAATTATCATAATATATCAAAATATTATTCAAAATATAACACGTGATGCATCGTTGCAACCTTCACCGAAGCACCAGTAGTTACAGTAGTTTGATGTACTTTGTGCATCCGGGCAGCGAAGCGAGTGCTCTGGTGCTTGGTGGTCAACTAAGGATGCTGAATCGACAGCCATTCGCCTTGCTCGAACCTGGGAATTTGATCCCCAAGCTCCACTGTCCTGTTGGGTCAATCTATGTCAATCTAAAACCCGTGGCACTTCTCTGCTTGGTTGATGTTGACAGTTCTGAAAGAGCTAAGGAGCTGGATGTTTAGAATTGTTTAGAGATATTTGCTAAGTCAACCTCCGGGCTCCCAACCATTGGAGTCTCGAGAAAGGCAGTGTCAGCTTTGTCAGCATGATCCTGCCAAAAAACAACTTGTATACAGTATACATTTGCCAATTGCTTGGGCCATCTTGGTTTGGCATGTCTTCTGTTGCGATATGTGCCAAGCGGCCACTGAGAGAAAACATGAGACAGTGGGGGACTCTTATCTTTGCTGCTCACACCTGGACACAACCATCCCGCTATATCCCACTCATCGGTCACTCATCCCACTCCTGCAAGTCGTTGAAAAGAAAGCCTGCAGCATTAGCACGCCTCATGTGAGGCGACCTGGCGACATGGCTAGCAGTGAAGCAAGACATTTCAGGAAGCAAATCGTGAATGCCAAACTCACGCCATGCCCAGCACTCGACTTTGCACACTGATGCCAAACCTTCCTCTAAAGCCTCCATGTAGAAAGACACACAGTCGGACCTTTAATCGTCTGGCATCAAATCTTTCCCAGAACTATATTCATATGGCGTTGCTCCCTACCCATCCTTGAGCCAAAGGGCGAAGGCATGAAGGAGCACATCGAAAATACAATATATATATATATATAATATATATATATATAATCAAGAATCAATAAGAGAAATGGCCTGCAGCCCCTGGTAAATGGGTAAATGGGTAAATGGGTCCCCTGGTCACCTCATGCGGATTCATTGAGGCTGTCCGGGCTGTCCTTCCTCACCAGACCCACGGCTGGAAAGCAAAAATATGCAAAAACAATCATATCATTATGCAAATGACGCAATTGTTTATTTTGTTTCAGATGGTTTCAGGGTTCAATAATGTCCATCTCTTGCATGTTTTGCACCTTCGCAGGCAAGTGCAAGTCCCGCCAAACGAGACAGGCTCCTGTGTCACGCAGTTCCTTAAGAGGTTGCTATTCATGCGAGGACTCTTGAAACAGTGCGCGAAGCTTAAGCTTCTGGCCTGTGCGCTGTTATGCGTGTTCTGCGTGTTATGTGCAGCTATTTTGATTGTCCTTTCCCTGCAGCTGCGACTTCCCCCTGGCAGCATAGCTTGTCCAGATCTGGAGGCATAACATAAAGTCCATTGATTATGTGACGGTTCATGAAGGTTCCACAATTTCCAGACTCACAGGCAAAGTCCCCAGCCCCAGCGTGCTTCAAACTGCTCAAACTATTGTCGTTTGAGCCCTGGTGCACTTCCGGAAGAGATTCAAACCCTTCACGCGTGCGCCCCTGAGCCCCTCCTTGTTTACAAGGAAGTGAGGCTTCCAAAGACTTCTGACGCAACAGCGCGGAAACACGTGACAACACACACGCTCAGTTTGCAAGTATTGCATGTCACACCCTGAATAAGGATGCCTGATGATGTCTGGTTATGCATCGTCATGCATTATATGCATTCCTTCTTTCATGTGTCCCGTGCTCATACCAGTGGCGCGGGCCCAAAACAATCAATCAAACCCTGAATTTGCGTGGATTGGCCGAGATCATCTGCGACAAGAGTTGTTGGAAACATTTGCAGACGAAAGGCTCACAATATTTCACAACAAACTGCTACCTCTGGCCGCTTCTTTCTAGCTAGCACCATCACCATAATAATAGTATATCATAGTATATTATAGTATATCATAGTATATCATAGTATATCATAGTATATCATAGTATATCATAGTCATGTCATAACTGATAATCTGATAACCTATTCGATCTGCATAGCTTTGAGCATCGTAGAATTTGAGGAGTCTTCCATCTGCGTCGTATTTTTGTCGACATCTTGACAATGTTTGGGAATGTTTGGGAATGTCGAGGATGTGTGATGTCATACGACAAGCTGTACAAATGTGCGGTTCACCGAGCCACCCCGTCAACGACAGGCATAGCACCTGGCCAGGAGCTTGGCACTTGCGTGGTTCAAACTTGAATGTTCAACATATTTCGTCATATTTCGTCATATTTCGTCATATTTCGTCATATTTCAACGTCATCGCACTTCTTGTTCTCACCCTTTTCCTGCTCACCCTATCCTTCTTGTTCCTTCAAAATCATTCGAACATCCACAAAGCTCTGGCCTCTTAGGGTCTGCCATCGTCACGTGGCATGTGGTCACTTCACCCTGCCAAAGTGAGGGAGAACCGGTCAGAATATGTCAGAATTGGCAAGCAGGTTCCACTCCAGTTTGGCTACCGGTACCGAAAGCTCTTTTGGCTGCCAAGCTGCTGGAAAGGTTGTTGCCATGGATCTAAGGACGTTCAGCTCTGCTCTTGATCTGGCCTCTCGGAACAGTCTCTAGAGTCTATAGACAAGATCCCAATTCGTCATTGGGTTTCAGGCACATGAAAGCTGAGGATATTCAATCTATTCATTCAGCTGTGAACTGAACAACACAAATGCATACAAATGCTGGGCTGTTGCACAATGAGATCCGAGCCTACAAATTGCATCATGCGAATGCGGGACATCATGCAAGGTTATTAATTCATTCATTGCGTATCTCTCTGCTTACAACGTTATGATACGTTTGGATGAAAGAAACAATTATGATATATTGTGATGCAACGATGATCTAAATTCTGACAGATCATGTTTAAGCTGAGCCAAATCACGGGAGTCCCTGGGCTACCCGTCATAGACACGTCGTCCTCGAACCAAATTGCTGTTCGTGATGGCCTTTTTTTCCGCTGAGGGGCACCTGGCGCAATGCAATATAATGCAATATGCACCAGCTGGTCGGGGAGGCTGAGCCAAGAGCTTGTTGGCTTATGATGATTGAGGATGATCGACCATGACCGATCATGATTGAGCATCATTGAGGATCCTTTGCCTACAGTACCAGTACATCGTTTCTGAGCAATCTTTGGTACCTCTGACCATGCCCGGCAGATCTGTGGGGAGGGATGAAAAGGGATCAAAAGCACTCGAAAGCTTCAATGCCACCACTGTTTGACATTTAGTTACATGAGGTCTTATGGTCTGGCAGTACACCACAGAAAGCTGAACGCCTCTCCTACCGGTTTCCCTTAATCCTGTGATATCCTGTGATGGTGTGTCTTTCCCAAATCCGGGACGAGCTCAATTCGTTGACGGTCCGCATTTCCGGATGATGGATTTATGGGAGATCTTGAAACGGAGCCATCATTTTGCCAGAAACATCCAAAAACGTCATACTGCCTACTGGATCATACTGGGCCTACTGTCATCCTGTCGATCCTGTGCCATCTGCCATTCTCTGTCCTCTGCTCTTCCCCTTCCCAGTTCAGGCACCTCCCGAGGCCATGACTATCTCTTCGCGAAAGTGACCACTTGAAGCAGCCTGGCAACCAGTGGCAACCAGACGTGCGAGACCAGCTGTGTGATTGCTCCCGGTACTGACGAAAGCCAAAATTCATCAAAATTCTGACATCTGAATAGATCTGAGCCACTCTGACCATGAAATTCCTAGCTCAAGATTTTTTGGAGATCATGTATGCGACAGCATTCGGCTCATCAGTGATCAGCGTTGCAAGCCTCTCCATCGATTGCGCCTACACATAGCCGTCAATTTCAACCATGACGAGAGTAAGAAGGGGGAAAATGATGAGAATGGCCAATGAGAATCACGAGAACATTACCCCAAAATATGTCTGATATGGCACTGATATGCACTGATACTGATACTCTCATGTAACATTACTGAGGTAAAACGGTGCAAGTCGGGGCAAGCAGCTTCTCAGCGAGAATCTGTGTACGTCTTCATATCCATCCCCGTCCACAGCCGTTGTGCCATGTTGTGCCTTCAGCGCAGGACTTCAAGCAAACAAGGGCTGTGCGTGACCGCTCGCAAGGCTCCAAATGCGGGTCCTCAGAAATGGATTGAACTTGATTAAACCGCAAGAAGCGGCACCGGTCCTTGACATTTTATGTCACGTATCCCCTACACTTTTCTGGTTATGATTCATATGTTTGTCACCTTGTTCGTGCACGGCACCTCAATGTTTGCATCTAGCACACTAATGATATACATAATATATACAATTACTAGAATGCATTGCCGTGCTGTCCCAACACGTACACAATTTGACTCAATGGATACTGAAATATACTGAATGGCAAAGGTTTATATACTCCCATCCAACCCAGCTGTGTCTCACATCACCATGGGCCGAGATGCGTCGTCTCTCAAGAACCACATTGCAGATCTCGAATGCTCGATGTCTGCCGGGGCTTGGCATTCACCCGTATTCAAAAGCAAAGTGGGCCACAAAATGCCAGAAAAGGGGGAGATGCTGTACAGCTCCATACAGTCAGAGCCCGGGTTGATCCAAAGGCCAGTTGTTAAACACTTCCAAACGTGCCATCATGCATATCATACGTTAAACGTTATCATACCACCTTCAAAGCGTAAAATACATTAAAATGCATTAAAATAGCTTCAAAATGTTTGAGTAAGTTTGATATGTTTGATTACAGTCTGATTGATGTTGGATGTTTGAATGCGCTGCATGTCTCTCCTGGAGGGCCCTCGGGGAGGATCGCCGAGCGACTACGCCGGATCTCGAGATCCTCAGCGGCCTCGGCAGTCGCACATGCCACATGCGGCCACAGATATGCTGAGACTCTGCGCTGAAAGATGCTGAAAGATGCTGAAAGATGCTGAAAGCAGGTGGCGCCCCTGAACCCTTCGTAGTTCTTCGTAGGCTCCATATTCGCATGGCAACTCGTTGAATCTGCAGCCGAGCATCGTGTTCCACACCTAGATTTCGCATCTCACATGCATAGATCAGTCTTATTGTCTTATCATGTCTTGTCTTACCAGATCTTACAGTACCACTTCTTTCCAAATGGCAGGTTTCCCAACCATTGCCATGTCATCACGTCTGCAACAAAGTTTTGGGGATCATGCATCAACTTCATTCAACTTCATGATGTAGTTCGCATAATCAATTCGAGTTCTATGATCATAAGTGACGTTTGACGATTAGAGGGATCAGCAGTAAACTACACTATCTAAACATGTAGTCTAAATTGATTGGCAGACTTCCTTGCCTTCCTAGCTTGCTCTTCCCTGATAAAGTACATACAGATATATACAGATTATAGAAAACAATAGATCTATTCAAGTTCTTCTTGACTCTGCCCTGCCTTTCAAGAATGTACAGACTTCAGCCAGCACCATTGCACAACTGCCCACAGCCCTATTCGTCTTGAGAAGATCTAAATATTCTAAATATCTAAATGACACCGAATGAAGATAATCCTGAAGCATGCCGTCTGTCCGTTGCAAGCCCCCGCTGTTTCTGATTGATTCTACCCCAATATCTCCGCAC